CGCTCTTCCCAATCAACCAGAGTATGGTAGCATGCGAAAAATAACTTGAGCAATAATGTTGTCGGGAAGTCATCCCATGAAAAAACAATGACACATTAATATCTAGGGTTTTGGAACTAACGTAAACTTTTAATTTTGACATATTAGTTGATGGACTTTCAATTTTTGACAATTTTGGTGTCTAATGTTTAAAAAAAAAAAAAAAAATTCATTTATATTCATTGTTGTAACTCTTTGCAATTGGCCCATTACTATTAGCCTAGCTCGGGCCAAGCCCGACACGGCTCAAACCCCTGGTCCAGGTTAGACCAAAGTTCAGAGCCTAAAAGTGTTTTCAACTCAAGTGTGTCTTTTATTTTTTTATTTTTAAATTTACTTTTTATAAGACTGATCCGGCTTGGCTCTGGCATGCCCTTAGCCCATCAGGCTTTAGGGCCAAACTTAGCTTACCCTTTACCCTTTAGGCTTGGTCCGGCCCAACTCGGCTGAAAATTTTATCTGAGCCGGGCAGCCCAAACATTCACCACTAATAGTCACTACGGGTCGAGAACACTTAGATTTTTTTTTTTATAGCTTTGTTTTTCCGAATGCCAATTGGAAAATTGAAATCAGCCCAAAATGACATCCATTATAACTTACAAGTGCTTAAAAAGAAATTTATTAATATTCATTGCCGCAACTACTAAAGTTGGCATTTATCTTATACTAATTTTCAAGAATAGTTTCACCAATAACCCTCTATAGATCGATTCATTTTTGGGATATTTATCTTTTTGTACCATGTATTTTAGGTTTATTTAAAATCTTTATTTTTAATTTTTGAACTCATCAAATATGTACATTTAAATTAGATTTAATATACAAATCTATACCTTATCTTGATCAACAATTGATTTTAATCTTTTGAAACTATCCTTAAAAAGAAAGAGGTTAAAACTTTCAAAAATTAGGAAAAGTAAATAAAAAATATATAAAAGGCTTATTTTCAGGATATATTTAGGTTAAAACGGTAACTTTAAAGATACCTTTTTAGCTTTTTCATCTTCTCATTTTCTATTTGAAGGTACTTTTGATATTTTTGGGATCAAAATCAATAGTTGAAATTTAATATGTATAGATTTGTGAATCAAATTTAATTTGAAGGTATACATTTAATGAGATTAAAATTTAAAAATATAGTATTTCAAATAAGCCTAAAACTGACAGTAAATATCCCTACCTATTTTCTTTTCCGTTTTTACGAGAGCACCATCCTTTAATAATTTTCTCTGTGTTTCTCTTATAATGAGAAGGAAAAAGATAGAAATGATGGAATCAAACTAATTAAAGACATTACTGATCAAAGATTACTAATCAAGATCATGGAGTGAGCATATTTATCGTTCAACATTAAGCCGATGTTCAATATATAAATATGTCATAAATACAAGCCATATTCTTTTCTCAACAACATTATCTTGTCATTGCTACAAAACAGGCATCATCCACTCTTCCCCATCAACCAAAGTATGGTAGCCTGCAGAAAACAATTTTGAGCAATAATGTTGTATGCAAGTCATCCTACGAAAGAACAATGACACATTAAAATCCATGGTTTTGGTACTAAAATAGTGGCATTTTGTTCCTTAAGTTTTTTATACGTATTAGTCCCTAAATTTTCATTTTTTTTTGACAATTTTGATCTCCAACGTTAAAATTGATGAACAATTTTAAAAATTAAATATATATAATCACCTTCTTATAACATAATAATTAAAAATTTTACGTACATAGTTACAATAAGTGCAAAATTTTTCATAGTTTTCTATATGTTTCCATAGTAATAAAGAACAAAATTTTGCATATAAAAAATTTTAAATTATCACGTAATACTATCTCTGTTAAATTTTTAAAATCGTACCAAACTATAATAAATAAATATAAAGTTCAGGAAACATTATGTCAAAATTTAAAATTTTGACAAATCAAAATGTCAGTATGCTTAAAGTTCAAGGGCTAGTAGTGCCAATTATCCTAAAATCTTTTTGTCATTTTTCCAAGTGCTAAGGATTCTTAACCAACGTGTAGCCTTTTATTTAAGACGTCCCACATTAATCAATATGATAGATACTTGCAATAGGCCTACTACTATTTGCCTATGTACGGCCCAAACCCCCAATCTAGGCTAGGCCTAGGTTTAAAGCCCAATCAACCCGACTAGACGAATTTTTTATTTTTAAATTTGCCTTATAAATGAGCCTGGCCCTAGCCAGCTCGTTAATAAGGCCAGGCTTTACTCCTTATATCTAGCTCGGCCCGGCCCAACAAGACCGAAAATCTTATTCGAGTCGGGCGGCCTAAACTTTTACCCAGTAGTCATAGTCACTAGGGGTCGAGAACACTTGGGACTTTTTTATAGTTTTATTTTTCCGAAGGCCGATTGAAAAATTAAAAAGGGAAATAGTATAAAATATACCAATATAAAAAGTTTAAGAAAGTATATAGGTTAATTTTTAGTTATAGAAATTAATAGACCATAATTTGTCAAGTTATAGTTCATAACCAGATAAGTTATGGACAAACTTGTCAAGTTATGGTTCATAACCAGACAAGTTATGGACAATTATGGACAATAACTTGTCAAGTTATGGTTCATAACCAGATAAATTATGGACAAAAATAGTAATTTGACCTATTTATTAATTTATGTAAACTATTGACCTATTCATTTTAATTCATCTCAAATCTTAGCCTATTTTCTTCTTTTAATTAATATCAGTCTAAAATGACATCTATTACAACTTACAAGTGCTTAAAAAGAAATCCATTAACATTCATCATCGCAACTACTATCACTGGCATTTATCTTATACTAATTTTCGAGAATACTTTCACCAATAATCCTATACAGATCAATACCTTTTTAAGATATTTTAAGTATATTTTAAGTATATTTAAAAATTATACCTTTTATTTTTAAACTCATCACATATATATCTTCAAATTAAATTTAATATACAAATTTATACCTTATCTTAATCAACATTTGATTGATCTTTTGAAACTATCCTTAATTAAAAAAAAGGTTAAACCTTTCAAAAATTAAGAAAAGTAAATAAGAAAAACACATAAAAGGCTTATTTTCATGATGTATTTAGGTTAAAGCGGTAATTTTAAAGATACTTTTTTAGTTTTTTGTTCATCTTTTTATATTTCTATTTGAGGGTACTTTTGGTATTTTTTAGGGTCAAAATCAATAATTGAAATTTAAAATGTATAGAATGGTGTATCAAATCTAATTTTAAGATATATATATATATATATATATAATGAGATTAAAAATTAAAGGTATAGTATTTCAATGTCTAAAACAGACAGTAAATGTCCCTACCTCTTTTCTTTTCCCTTTTTACGGGAGGTGCTCTCCTTTGTAATTTTCTCAGTGTTTCTCTCACGATGGGAAGGGAAAAGATAAAAATGATGGAATCAAACTAATTAAAGACATTGTTGATCAAAGATTTACTAATGAAGATCATGTTGCGAGCATATTTATCGTTCAACATTAAGCCGATATTTAATATATAAATATGCATTAATACAACCCTTTTTTGTCTACAACATTATCTTCTCATTGCTAAACACATGCATCGTCCACTCTTTCCCAATCAGCCAGAGTATGGTAGCCTGCAGAAAAAAATTTTGAGCAACAATGGCTGTATGCAATTCCACGAAAAAAAAACAATGACACATTAAAAATCCAGAGTTCTATCACTCTTAAACATTTAATTTTAACATATTAGTTCCTAAACTTTCAATTTTTGATAATTTTAGTCCATAATATCAAAATTGACGAATAGTTTTTAAAATTTAACATATATAATCACATTCTTATAGCATAATAATTGAACATTTTCAGAAATAGATACAGTACCTGCATAATTTAATAGTTTTCTACATATTTTAATAGTAATAAAGAAAAAACTGTAGATAACACAATTCTTTCCATAAAATTTTAAGTTACGTGGACACTTAATTATCTTTATTAAATTTCAAAAACCATTTGTTAATTTAGTGTTAGAGACCACTATCAAACATACAAAAATTCAAGAATTAATATGTCAAAACTAAAATTTTGAGATCAAAATGGCCCTATGTTCAAAGTTTAAAGACTAATAGCGCCAATTACCCTAAAATCTATTGTTGTTTTCCAAGTGCTAAGGATACTTAACCTACGTGAAGCCGTTTATTTAGGACGTCCAACATCAATCAATACGGTGGATACTTGCAAATTTCCTCATTAGCTCTAGAGCCTGTTTGGGAGAGCTTTTTAAATGTTATTTTTGACTTTTCAAGTCCAAAACCTGCTTCCGAAAGTGTTTAGATAATCTGACAGAGTATTTTAACTTTTCAGAAGAGCTTCCAGTCAAGATCAGAAATTGTGACTTCTAAAAAAAACACCTATGAATATACTTCAAAACTTATACACCAGAGTTTAATTAAGACATTATAAACTTAATTTCAACACTTTTATTACTTGTTAGAAAATTTAAAAATCATTTTGACCCATTAAGCTCTTACTTTCAAACATTTTACTGAAAAGTCGCAACTTTTGCTTCTCTTCTTCTCCTAGCTAAAAAGAAAAGCAAACACTTTGCCCCTAATCACAAATGTTCTTTAAATTTTGTTTTTGTCAGCTCAATGTCAGTGGTACAAACCCTAATAAACCCAACTGCTTAAATTTTGGTGTTAAAAATTCTTATCTAAGGAAATCACTTTTTCCGCTTGTACTCATGAGTTGTCACACGCCTTTGGAAGAGAAATAAAAGAAAATAAATTCGAGCTTTAACCTACTTAACTGTAAAGCAATAAATATTTTTGGAAATTAAAAGAAAAAAAAAAGACATTAATTTAAGCTCACCCCAACTTGAGAGATGTGTCAGAAGTACTGTCACAGTCTTGGGGAGGGCCACTAGAGTTGCATGCATTGGTTATGGACTCGGACGATTGGCCCTCCTCATTAATTACGTTATCCGAATCAACTCCAGCTTGCCTTTGAGATAACTCCATTGCCTACATACACCAAAATCATCTATATGCATTAATTGTGACTTTGATCTTTTTTTTTCTTGTCTATGATGAATAATAACAATAATGTCCCATCATTTTCGTCTTTGGATATAGGTCCAAAAATACAAATGTCAATACACGTAGAGATAGCTATTCTGACCAAAATATGCAGACAAGAAGATATTTAGAGATAGGTAGTGATAAAATGCACACTCTTTTTCTTAGTCGTTCATTCTCTTCCATTAATTGCATCCCCTGCATGTTTTATATAAACGACTGTTAACTCCAAGCTAGAGAAAAAATGAACGGAACAAAAAGGAGCAAAAAGAAGACAGAACTTTGAACGACAGTTTTTATTTTTTATAGGGCACCAGTAGTGCTAATGCTAAGCACCACCCACTAATAGAAAATGAGTCCTATAGTGTGGAATTTACAAGTGAGACTCACATTTTATTAGTGATGGTGTTTAACACCGGTGATGCTGGTAAGCATTTTTCTTATTTCTTATGAGAAAGTGAAAATATATATATATATGTAGCATACTGACACTAATAATATGTTGGAATGTGTTATGAAAAATATCTCATGTCTACACTCAATGACGTAACTAGGAAATTTTATCAGTTGGACGAAACTAATAACTTGGACAAAAATTTAGTGGGGCTATAAAATTAGAGTTTTAATTTTTAGTGGGGCTATCTACATATAATTGTAATACAACTTATATTTATTCATTCATTAACAAAAAAAAAAAAATGTTAAGTGGGGGCTCAAGGTTTCACTGGCTCCGTGCCTGTCTACACTGGTACACATACTTTTTCTACCAAGAAATTAAATGCAAAGAATCTCATTAATAAAATGATTTAAGTTATATTTTAGCTGCACCATCTATTATAATATACAAAAACATACATATATACATACATAGTGTGTAATGTTATGCATATGGTCCCACACCGACTTTTTAAAAAAAAATAAAGACATGCATGACCGCTTTCTTTCCTATCAAACTAAATTAATGTGGAGCACATGTATAATCTAACCTTTCTCTGAAGATCATTGATCTCTTTCATAATTTTCTCCCCCTGAAAGTTTTCAACAAATTAAATCAGAGATATATTATATTACGTACGTTCTGATAAGTAGATAGATTTTCCAAACATTATTCAAGATAACAAATAACACAAACTGACTTTCTTCTCGATCACGCGGCTTAGTCCAGATTCAAGGGACTTTTCTAGACGCTGAAGTTCTTCTATGTTCAAGCCTTGAAGTTCTTCTCCTCTCAACTGCCTATAGAATTTGAGGAGTTTTATATCTAATTAATATATATATATATATATATATTATATGGTCCATAAACTATATATTGATATTTTATGAAAGATCGTAATTTTAAAAACACGCAAAATATATATACACATACATAGAGAAAGAAGATGAAGTAATGGGTATACACACACACACCTCAGTTGATGACTTTTCTCTGCAATTTCCTTGCTCAACCTGGAGTGGTTACTGTTCTCCACCAGCTAAATTAAGCATGTAATAATTCTCTTAGTAATTAGGAAGAAGAATATATATGAGAATAAGATTAAAAAAGAAATGTATTTCAAGTACTTATAAATGAAAAATTGTTGCAGCTCAAATTGAGGATTACCACCGCGACAACCTGCTTCTCAATATTTACATAGCACATAATCAGTTATACACTGCGGATTATGTGCAACAATGTAATTAACTTTCACTAGCTTGTAATCTGTTGTAACCTCAAAGCCTTAGTTCTCGGTTGCTCTGATTGTTTAGTTTGAATTGTTTGTAAAATTTGTCATCATTTTCACATTAATAATGGAAGTGCTATTCATTTTTTAAATTAAAATTGTTAAGGTATTAAAGCTATAATCTCTAACGTGCACTTTCGCTGAGCTTTTTTTTTTCTTCCATCTCAACGTGGCTTTTAATTCTGCTTGAGGAAATTCCAACCTTGTTGCCGCCATATCACCCAATACTGCCCACAATTACAACAACTCAATTACTTCTTAAGCTCACTTGACTCAAGTATGTTTTGTGAAGCCAATTTCACTCTCTTTTCTTCGGCCATGATCTCCTTGATTACATTGATGGGACTCTTTCTTGTCCTCCAGCCACAAGTACCACAAATGACAAGTCTCTCCCAAGCCCGAAGCACATGCTTTGGTTAAAACAAGGCCAGTGTTTCCTTGTGCACTTCTTAACTCTATCTAAATATGCCATACATAATGTAGTCAACTAGGTCTAACCATGAAGCCTTGACTTGCATGCCATTCTTGCCTCTCTATCTCAATATGTCTTTACCCTTAGTGAACCGTTTTTGAAAACGGTTTTCATGTATTTCGAGAAGCAAAAAATGAAAATGAGAACGAAACGACGTTTGTTTAGCAAATGTTTTGAAAACGAAAGCAGGGAGAATGGTTTTTGTGAAGGAAATAGAAAACAGTTGAAAATTATTTTCATTTTTTAGTACTTATCAACATTATTATAATATATTAATTAATTAACACGATTTCACTTTTTTATTACACTCAAAACAATCTCTTAAAAAACTAACCAAACACAATTTTAGAATCGGTCCCTAAATGATTCTCAAAACAATCTCATTTTTACTTTTTATTGAAAACAAAATCATTTTGAAACCAATTCCAAACACACCCTTAATGTGAAGCCTGGACTTGCGAAAAAGAATGAGAGAATTGTGCTTTCCAAGATAAATAATTGAGTGAAGGTGAGCTTGAGATAATTGAGATGTTGCATCGATGATGATTAATTTCCAGTGTAGTCGGTTACAATGGAGATAACAGAGTTGGATTGCTTTAAGCAAAATCAGAAAGATATTTTAGTCTATGGAGACGGTTGCAAAGAAGTTTCACAATAACATCGATTAAGAGAGACACTCAAAATCTTTTCGAGCTAATAAGAATACGGCTTAAATAAGGCATTTGTCAACACAAAAATCAAATACTAAAAACAAATGCAATTGTAAGAGTGATCAATACTCGTAAGCACTCGAAAACGAATAACATGAGGGGGCAAAACTAATACCTGCAATTGAAGAGATGGTTGTTCAAGTTTCTCAAGGTTCTTTGAATGCAAGTTATGCCTTTCTAGTATTTCCTTCATGCTTCAATATAAGAGGAAAGTAATACAAAAGTCAATCATAACGGAAAGAACTTATAAGAATAAATTCTACCATTTCTTTAGGTTTAACTTACAAGAAAATTAATTGAACATCCTAATGGTTATCATTTACGAAAACTAATTGAAGTTTTCATATCAAATTATCTCACAAATTTAATACATGCACATGAATTTGTATATACTTTTTAATTATATACGCAACACAAGTAATCAAATCGATTACGATATAATTTATTCAAGTCACACAATCGAGAAACAGTTTATCTTGTAAGTTTTTGCTATAAAATAAACTAAAACAAATAGCAATGTGCAGGACAACACAAACTCCACCATGAGTTTTGTCACAATTTCCAGAAGTACATACGATTACATTCACATGCTTCATTCATGTGAACATATAATATTTAATATTTGAGATTCATGGTTTATAAGTTCGTTTTGATGTTAACAAATTAACAAAAAAATTAAACGGATTCTTGCTTACATTTTTTCAGCTGCTTAATCTTGAACTAGTCTAAGTCTACAGGCCACTAAAATATGGGGGCGATGAAAGATTCTGCTTACTTCATTGGTAACGTTATCACGAAATTATGTCCTATTATTTCAAAATTTGATCAGCAAGAACATATATGCATGCAAAATAGACTCCTCCAAAGCTTCCATTGTCGCTTTTATTCTTTTTCCTTTTCCCTTAAATTTGACACGTAAAAAATAGAGATTCTCTCACTTTGCCCTATACAGTTTAAAATGAAAAAAAAAATAAAAAAAAATAAAAAAAAAACTCTCTTAAGTTTATTATACATTGATCCTTTGATCATTGACGCATCATTTTTTTTAAGCCATTTTAATCACATATGGGTTGCATAAATGGTAGATAAGGTGGTTTTTTAACGGTTTTGATCACGTATCCAACAACCACCATGATTAAAACCGTTAAAGAATTAACACATCAATGTCAAAAGTACCAACATTGTAATTAATAATTCGGATGGATGGGGGTATTATGCTATTTTGAGTCGTAGGGGCAAAGTAAGACAATCCATATTCCACATTTTCCACATTTTTGGGTTCAAATTTGAAGTTAATCTTATAAGATATGCTAAAAGAATAAAAGATGATTGAAGCTGATATACAAAAAGCATATAAGATTCAGTTCTCCAATAAACACGTCACATCTCAAGTGCTTGTACCAGGTCCTAGAGGATAGAAAGTTAATATTCCTAGTTCCTACAAACAGAAATACTAAGAGGCTGTTCTCTTGCCGTTTTTTAGTTAGATGATTTGAGTGTAGATTTTGAGTTGAGTTTGAGTTATAACTTGAGTTAAAGTTGTAACTTGAGTTTGTGTTTGGTTGTGTACATTTGAGTTATGATTTGAGATAAGAATCTTTTTGAGTTTGTGTTTGAGTGAGTCAAAACTTGAATTTGTATTTAGATAGTATTTTAATAAAAACTCAATGCTGATGAAAAATTTTAATAGGGTATATGGGTGGAATTTTATTCGTCTTTTCGTTGTGAGCACATAGAAAAAAAATCATCTCAACCAGACTTAAAACGGAAAAACTTATAGCATTTTTAATAATAGAAAAAATACTGTTCATTAATTTGAGTTCGAGTTTCTGAAGTCGAGTTGAAGGGGAAACTTGAACTCGAGTTTTAGTCCCAAACTCGAGTTCAAACTTAAAAGAACATGAATTTGAATAAAATTGTAACTCGAGTTGCTTTTTTTTTAGTTTTTAACTCAAAAAAAAGGTCCTTTATATATTCGACTAATTCGAGAATTTTTTTCCCTTATAACGTCACTATTTTCCCCCCTAAACCAAGAGCTATTCTCAACCCTAACAAAATATCCTTCTTCACCTTTACTCGCATGGCAAGCTTATCCAAGAATTATTATTTCAGCTTTTACTGGACCACCTACTCAGATTTGATTGGGTTTCCGATAGCAGGATATGCTATGGAGATCAATGATTCTCTCTCTCCATGTTGGCTAACTCTCAACCATAGAAATTAAAGATAACAAATCATGACTAAACATAAGGGGATAGAAGGAAAAAACAAAATATCAAATCACCATAATGTGTAGTACATATTATATTATATAGCATGTATAATATATGAACATATGTATGTACATTAATATCAGTGAATGATCACTAATTGCTCATTTTGCAATCCGTATCATGTATAGTACTGCCGAATTAATAACGGTTCACTTTTTAGCAACATCTCAACATACATGTACTTGTTTAGGTACTTGGAACTCCTTTTTTCCCTTTTATTCAATAGCAAAATTGAAAGTTGTAAGGCGAAGAAGCCAAAACAAAGTACAAAGTAAGCTCCCAGGTTAGAGAAAACAAAACTACAGCATAAAATCACATTCTAGTGGACTAGGAACAATGCATAGTTCATGAGAAATTAATAACTTTGTCATATAATAAAGCACCAGTTACAAAGAAAACAGCTAAGAATATAGCAAAGCTTCCAATTTTCAAGCCCAAAGATGGAATCATGATCTCCTGGCCATTATTTCTGTGAAGGTCATAATAACTAATATGCTCTATTTAGAATCCAACACAGACAATATCCCAAGTCGGACCATTTGACATCTCTTATTATTTCTTAAACTCCTTGAACAAGAAAATATTCTTTTTCTTCTTTGTTTTGGCTGAAATTGAACTAGAGAACATTGATAGTTGCAACTTCTCAAAATTCAAGAAGTGGGTCTTCTCATTTTATCTCAAAAATAGTACTCTCATAGAGTAATAATCTCTAACAGCAAAGAATTAAAATCACTTCTTCTATGCATGAACAGTTCAAACATCAAAGAACTGAAGAATCCATATATATATATATATCCTTGAGCTAGCATACTCAAAGAGCTTCCCAGTGGAAGAGAAGATGATGAGACCAACATCGGCATCGCAGAGAACAGAGAGCTCCTCAGCTTTCTTGAAAAGCCCTCTCCTTCTCTTGGAGAAAGTGACTTGTCTCGCCGTGGCGTTGTCGATCTTCTTGATCTGAATCTTCTCTCTCGCCATATTTCAAAGCCAGCCCTCGATCTTTCTTACTTAATCTGAATCTTTATTCTCTAGGGCAGTGAAGAAACCAGCTAGCGTACATATATTATATGTGTATATATGCACACACAGAGTATAATATCAGGCACAAACGAACCACGTAGAAAAAGAAAAGTTGCTAAATATAGAGGTTCGTGAGTGGGAGAGAAGAGGCATGATCAGGTTTGATAAATGGCGGTATTTTGCCAAATTTAGCCAAGAATATTATCACTGCAAACCCTAAAAGTTGGAACTGTTCACAGAAAGAAAAAAGGAGAAACACAAAAGCATACTTTAGATCCAGACGGAATGAGGAAGGAGATAATAATGCTGGAAATAATATTCCACCAATTAGATCACATGAAAATAGGAGATGGCTTTGTAAGTAAGAGAGAGAGAAAGTGACAGAAATGGAATTTATTTTTGGCTCTCTTTTTTTTTTGTTTTTTTAATATATATATCTATATACTTACAAAGCCATCTTTATATACTTACTTACCAGTTTGGGGTGGTTTTTGTTTGGTGCTTGGTTGTCTTTGTTGCTTGGAGTTTGTGAGAGAGCTTTGAAAAGCCACCAATAAATAAGAGAGAGACAGAGAGAAGAGAATTCTTTTGTGAGTATCAAAGTGTCAAAAAGAGAGACCCTTTTGTGGTGAAGCAGCTAAATAGCTTCTTTTAGGCTCCATTTAGTTAGAATAATAGATAATAAAAAAAGATGGAGAGAGTTAAAAGGAAGGGGTTGTATTGGTTAGTTAGATGGAAAGAGTCGAAAGAATAATGATAATTATTTATTTAATTATTATATTTTTAATTATATTATTTTTTAATAATTTATTGTGAACGGTGAAAATGTAATTTTATTTAAATTTAATAGATTGATTGAGGGTCCGTTCACTTTGCTGATTTGAGTTTAAAATTTGAGTTTTTATACATTAAAAAGCTCTCACAAACAATCACATCTAACTTTTTTACTATATTAAAAAGTTCTCACATAAAGTCACATCTCAACTCGAATTCTAAATTCGAATCAGCGAAGTGAATGGAACCTAAATCTTTCTACTAATAGAATAATTTAAAATAGTGGGTTTAAAAAAAAATTTTCATATTTCTTCTCTCTCCTTTTTTTTATTAAATAAATGAATATTTATTTTATGTATCCGTCATTAATTTTAAATCATAATTTATAATATTTTATAATATTTTTTTTTTATAAAAAATTTAAATTTTAAAAATTAAAATCATGAATAATTACGAATACGCTACCTAAAAAGTTCTCTCTACTATTCTCTCTCATCTCTTTCTCCTACCAAACATTTTCTCCTACAAACATATTCTTTGCCCTTTAGTTGCTGTAAAAGGTTACTTGGCGTTTGTGATGGGATTTTGACTGAGATGTCGGAGGAGAGGGGAAGCAAATCAGCAATCCACCATTATTTTATATAAAAATATATTAATATCAACAGTGGTACTCTTTTGATAAGATATATAATTACAATGGCATCCTTTTGATTGTTAAAATTTTAAAGCTACCCATAATGCTTCTAAAACCATATTTCAGCCGCTAAAATATGCAATAATTATATTACGTCCATAGTATTGTACATAACCAACATGTTCCTACTTCTTAGGGACAAATTCAGTTCTCACTAAGGTTGTGTTTCGGTTGCATTACTGAACTGCCAATGGAACGGTAATTTTAATAGGAATGGAATGGTAATAGAAATTGTTGTGTGGGAAAATGTAACGGACACATGGACGAACGATAATGCGACACGTGGCCTTGACTATTCTCCACCAAGCAACAACCCTCGACGTCTACGGCTCCCTCCTATTCTGCTGGAAAACCCAAAGCACGAAGTCCAAATTAGGGCGACGATTCCTTCTGGCGTCGACTGATCGCGCCTTCGAGATTAAAGGCACGAAGATCCCTCGACCGCAGAAGGGACCGCCGAAGAGGGCGATTGGGCTAAGCAGCGCTGACGACGAGGGGAACGTTCTTTGGAGGACGTGACGGGTTACGTGCAAAAGTGGAAGACGTCTGCAGGCATTAATTGCAAGCTCTCGAACCGTCCCACAGGGGACAGAAAAGTATTACGGAGAAGCACAGAGCCGTAATAGGAGACTAATTGGCTGAGTGAACAGTGTTGATTAGTGGGCTACGTATGGGCCTACCAAGGAAGAGCACTTGAGTGCTTCCACCTATGAAAGAAACCCCCTAAGCGAAGGAAGCCCGGTATAATAGGAGGAAGACCCCCAGTAAGGAAGGGGTTTTTTCAGAGATTCCAGCAAAGAGAAAAGAGATTTAATGAGAGCAATTATTGTAGATTGTTATCTTCTCAAAAGAAATACAAAATCACTGTGGATGTAGCTCTCATTTTATAGAGTGAACCACTATAAAATTCCTTGTGTTGTTTGTCTATGCATGATTTAGTTAACACACATATTTAACAAATCCTCATATGTTCGCTACACACACTGGCCGGTAATCCAAAGGGAAACCAAGAGGTAACCCGGCCGGTTTTTGTTGGTGAAATTTGACCGTCAACAATTGGCGACTCCGCTGGGGACGAAAACGTTCGACCCCCAACAACATAATTATAAACCGCCATCCATCCAGGGAATAGCGGGATGGAAGAAGATCTACGCCCGGTCAGAAATGACGTCCCACCTCCAGACGCACCACGGCCGGATCCGATGCAGATACAGGCCCAACTAACCACTCTAACCCAGCTGGTGCGTAGGCTAATGACCGTGGTTGAGCGCTTAGATGGAAGGAACTACATGCCGCCATTAGAAGACGCCCTGAGGCCGCAGGGACCTGCCATGGCAGAAGATCCGAACCATGGTGACCACCCACATATCCAAGAGGGAACCGGAGATAGTGAGAATCACCGGGGCCCTTCTAGGCCTCGGCCTTCCCAATCCTCCGGCAGCCGTTTGGGAGCCGCCGGATTCCGAGCTCCCGAGGACCGGGTACCGAGAGGTCCAGGAAACCCCGAGGTACTATCCCAGAATCCAGGTGAAAACCCGCCAGGAGACTCAGGATCAGTACAGGTAGGCGGCCAGGCCCGAGGCGGACCCAACACTCAGAGGGCAGAAGCGTCAAGAGTAGCCGGCTCGGCCATTTCGACAGAAGAAGCGTGCGCCATCATGGGACGTATGGCCAGCCTGGAGCAAAAACTGACAGGGGACGTGGCGGGCCTAAAAAAGAATATAGGTCGTGTGGCTGAGGTGGTAAACGTTGATATCACGCCCAGCCGCACACATGACCATCCATTTACCAAAGAAATAATGGCGCCCCCTCTCCCCGATATATACAGGTCGCCGTCAATCCCACCGTATGACGGGCGAGGAGATCCCGACGACCATTTAGAGATGTACACAGGGCACATGCTCTTGCACGGTTATGCCGAGGAGATCATGTGCCGAGCCTTTCGAAACCATTTGACGGATTCTGCCCGAAGATGGTTTTGGACGCTGAGGCCAAACTCTATCTCAAGCTGGGGCGAGTTGAAGGAAGCGTTTTCCCTCCAATTCATAGGGGTCAAAAAGTACGTCCCCCCAAAGCAGAATATGACGACGATATACCAAAAGCTGAACGAGTCACTAAAGGAATGGCTCGCGAGATATGGGGAAGCTGTCGCCGCCACGATGGATATAACAGATAGAGAGGCCTTGATGGGGGCCTTATCTAGCATGAAGAAAATTACCTCATTCAAAAGAGAGCTGAACCGGAAACCTCCGTCCAGCTACAGTGAGTTTTTGGCGCGAGCGCAGGGGTACATCAACGCCGAAGAGGCGGACGCAAACGACCCCGAGCACAGGTCCAACAAGAATAAAGGAACCGAACAAGGGTCGACGCCTGTGAAACAGGATGGGAAGAAGCGTCGAGGTGGAGGAAACGGAGACAAGCAGCCCGCTGTGACGACGAGCGCTCCAGAAGCCAAGAAGCCGAGGCAAGAGGATACCCGTAAGCCTCGACTGTTCCAAAAATACGATTCCTACCATGAGCTAACGGTAGGAGTCGAGGAAGTCTTCAATCAGGTCGGCCGCGGGAACTTGCTGCGCCGACCGGAACTGATGAAGTCAGATCCCAGCCGAAGGAACCAGAAGAAATTCTGTAGGTTCTACGGCGATGTCGGCCACCACACCAACGATTGCGCCAACCTCAAGGATGAAATCGAAAGAGTGATCCGCGAGGGAAGGTTACAAGAGTTCAGGGCCGAACGAAGACCCTGAAATGACAGCCATGGTGGGCAAAATGACAGTCGACGCCGAGAGGAGAACCAGCGCCCAGAGGATCGCGAACACGTCGACGTCATACGGACTGTCCTCGGCGGTCCTTATATAGGAGGAGACTCAATGAGGTCTTAGAAGGACTATGCCCACGAGGCCAGGGGGGTTTATTAGGAGCGATTCTGGAGCGTCTCCGCTGCAAAAACCCCAAGGTACAGTCACACCGACGTGGCCTTTAACGAGGATGACGCCAGTGGGGTTCATTTCCCCCACAACGACGCCTTGGTGGTGGAAACCATGATAGGAAACCACACCGTGTGCAGAATCCTGGTAGACAATAGGAGCTCGGTGGACCTCCTATACTCCGACCGCTTGGAGAAAATGGGGATCCAAAAGGAACAATTGGAAAAAACCTCTAGGCCACTATATGGTTTCACTGGGGTCTCCGTCATCCCCAGGGGACTATCTGGTTGCCTATAACCGCCGGAGAAAAACCCCGACATGCTACCACAATGGCAAACTTTATGGTTATAAAATGAGGCTCCCAATACAACGTCATGATTGGAAGACCAACCCTTTAGGCGCTAAGGGCCATAACTTCCATTTACCACCAAAAGGTCAAGTTCCCTACCCCAAATAGCGTGGGTGAGATAAAGAGCAACCAGTATGAAGCTAGGGTTGCATACTCTGACGCCCTGCGCGGATATGACCAGCCAGGAAGATAGGAGGCAAGGATGGTTCACCAGAGCCTCGTCGAGGACATAGACCCCAGGATCCAAGAGGAAGTCACATGGTCTCAACCCGTCGAGCAGTTGGTGGAAATACAGGTTGATGAAGGTGAGTCCACCAAAGTGCTAAAAATGGGTTCGGGCTTAGCCCCATCACTTAAAGTTGAGATCGAAAACTTCCTCAGGAAGAACTTAGATGTCTTCGCCTGGAATCATTTCGACATGGAAGGGATCGACGCCTAGGTAATATGTCACTCCCTAAACGTCGACCCCTCATATCCGCCCAAGCGCCAGAAACGTCGACCAATGAACCCCGAGAGGTATGAAGCGCTGAAAGAAGAGATCGACATGCTAATCAATAATGGGTTCATCAGGGAGGCCCATTACCCACGTTGGGTATCAAACACCGTTCTAGTGGTCAAGCCCAACGGGAACTGGAGGAC